ACGTCTCTATACCGATCCGCGAGACTCTACTAAACCTGCTCATGACTCATGAGACCTGTGTAACCTAGGCTCTGATACCAACTTGTCACGACCTTAACCCCGAACCCGGTCGTGATGGCGCCTCTCGTGAATACAAGGCCAGCCAATCTAACACAACTCATCCTTTTAAGCAGTTAAATAACATAAAAATAGTTTAAACATGATTTAATAGCAATAGCTAGCGGAAATAGAGATAACAAAGTGGAAATCCATTCCGACACAACCTTAACCGGGGTGTCACAAGTCACGAGCATCTATGATACTAAATCCTCAAATGTAACTACAGAGTTTCAAATACTGAGCTAGAAACGTAAAGGAAATAGATAAAGAGGAGCTCCAGGCTGCGAACACCAACAACTACCTAAAGACTCCTCGAAGATCCGCCTGAAGCTGGAATGAATCAACACTCGGGAGCGGAACCAGCGATGCCTGAATCTGCACACGTGGTGGAGGGAGTAATGTGAGTACTTGTCATGACCCTAACCCCGAACCCGGTCATGATGGCGCTTCTCGTGAAGACAAGGCCAGCCAATTTAACACAATTCACCTTTTTAAGCAGTTAAACATTACATAAGCAGTCTATACATTATTTAATGATAATTATTAGCGGAAGTACAACCCGACACAGCCCAAACTGGGGTGTCACAAGTCACGAGCATCTATGATACTAAACCCTCAAATGTAACTACAGAGTTTCAAATATTGAGCTAGAAACGTAAAAGAAATAAATAGAGAGGAGCTCCAGGCTGCGGATGCCAACGACTACCTAAAGACTCCTCGAAGATCCGCCTGAAGCTAGAATGAATCAGTACTCGGGAGCGGAACCAGCGACGCCTGAATCTGCACACATGGTGCTGAGAGTAATGTGAGTACTCCGACCCAGTGAGTAATAAATATAAATAATGACTGAAAGTAAGAAAACACATAAACACAAGGTATTCTATAATGAAGCAGTTAAATAAGAAATTTGCAAGCATAAAACCAATGAAAAGTAGAATAAAATACTTCTACAACAATTAAACAGGTAATTGACAGACAATTAAGATTAAAGTAAACACATAGAAGTTTGCCCCTCAGGCACAGTATCAACAATCTCCGCCCCTCGGGCTTAATCTCACATCACAATGGGTACTCGCGCTCACTTGGGGTGTGCAGACTCTGGGAGGGGCCCCTTACGGCCCAAGCGCAATATCAAGCCATCTCGTGGCATCAAATCTAGGCCCTCGGCCTCTTATCAATCAAGCCACCTCGTGGCGTATATATGTATCTCAGTCCCTCGGCCTCATATCAGTATTAGTGTTCCTCCCAATATAGGCCCTCGGCCATACTCAGTCAAAAATCACCACAAGCCTCTCGGGCAATAGTAAAACAGTGTTTCTTAGCCCAAACATCATTTAAAATATCATTTAAGTCTTAAAACTGAGTAAACGTGGCTGAGTAGTAAAACAGTGGAAAATAACGTGACTGAGTTCAAGTATAAGTCAAAACAATGAGGAAATATCAATAAAAATCCCCGAAGGGTTCAAATAGTTGGCACTAGACCCAAATATGGCATTCAGCCCAAATAATGATGATAGCAAAAGTATTCAATCAAATACGCAGTAAAATCATCAATCGGGACGGACCAAGTCATAATTCCCAATAGTGCATGACCCCACGCTCATCATCAAGCGTGTGCCTCACCTCAATATATCACTACGATGTGCAATCCGGGGTTTCAAACCCTCAGGACATCATTTATCGCGAATGTGGGTCTATTTTCACCCATAGCTGCTCATTTTGAGAGATTTTTGAAGAGGATTGAAGAGGGATTCAAGGGGAATCACCTGGAGGTAAGATTCTTGGACTAAAAAATCGATTATCATGTGAATTTCACGTAGAAAATCATGAAAACTAAGCCTAAAATTGAAGAACTAGGGCTTGAGAAATTGAACTTTTGATTTGGGATTTGAAGGACCATTTGGGGTCGGATTTGAGAACTTTTGATATGTATGAACTCGTGAGGAGATAAGGAATCTAATGATGTAAAAATTTCTGAGTTTTGAGAAGTGGGCCAGGGGCTCGGGTTTTGCTAATTTTGGGATTTTCGGTATTTTTTGATTGTTTTCGCTCGGGCTTGGTTCTCTTAGCATATTGTGACCTATTTGTTCTGATTTTGGATAGATTCGACGCACGTGGAGGCCGATTTGAGGGGCAAAGGTGTCGCGAGATAGAGATTTCACCGGTTCGAGGTGAGTAATGATTGTAAATGATGCTCTGAGGGTTTGAAACCCCGGATTTCACATCGTAGTGCTATATTGAGGTGAGACACACGCCAGGTGTAGAGCGTGGGGTCGTGCACTATTGGAGATTGAGACTTTGTCCGTCCCAAGGAAGGTCTCCCACACAAGGTTAGACAAGCCACTTACCTCGAGCAAACTCAAACTCAACCCGAAACCACGCTTTTGCCACGAGTATCCAACTCCAAATGGCCCAAATCTATTCAATTCAATTGCATATTGTAACTAACACCTCAAGTGACTGATTCTACGATTTAATTCAAAGCTAATACGTGAAATTAAGTAAAATGACCAAAATGCCCCTCAGGTCCACGTCTCGGAATCGGGTGAAAGTTATATTTTCAGAAACCTCGTACTCTTACAAGTCTATACATAACAAGAATACTGAAATCGGAGTCCAAATGACCCCTCAAATCCTCATTTAAAGGTCTCTTAAACTCAAGCCATAATTACCTCTTTTTTCCAAATTTCTCACAATTATTTAGGTCTTTAATCATATGAAAACGAGTTATAAAGTCAAGAACGTTAGCTCCAAGTGATTCCCCTTTGTTTTCCTCAAAAAGCCCTATCAAAAGCTTCAAACCCGGATGAAAATGGTGGAAGAATAGCTAAATTTCGCAAAGGCAACTATTTATATGTTCTGCCCAGCAATTACTGTATTTGCGGCCTTGGGACCACATCTGCGGTCCCGCTTCTGTGGATCCTATGTCGCATCTGCGACTTCCATTTAAAAAGGCCAGGATCGCATCTGCGATCATTTTTTTCCGCATCTGCGGAATCTGAAGGAAAAGTCAAGAATCCGCTTCAGCGGTCTCCACGCCGCTTCTACGGCTCCGCACCTGCGGAACCCCAACCGCAGGTGCAGTTATGACAGGTACCACCAAAAATTTGCAATCTCTTAACTTCAAAATCTTTCCGTCAACCATCGGAAATCATCCCGAGGCCCCGGGGACCTCAACCAAAAGCACCAACATCACCTAATACTTTATTCCAACTTGTACCAATCCTTAAAACACCTAAAACAACATCGGAAACTCGAATTAATCAAGGATTTAAGCCTAAGAACTCCAAATTGCCTCAAAATACGCTTTTGATCAAAAGCCTAACCAAACTACGTCCGAATGACCTGAAATTTTGCACACACATCCCAAATGACATGAAGGAGCTACTACAACTCTCGAAATTCCATTCCGAACCTCGGATCAAAATCTCACTATCGACCCGAAAAACCTCAAAAATTCAACTTTCGGCATTTCAAGCCTAAATTAGCTACGAACCTCCAAAACACACTTCGAACACGCTCCCAACCCGAAATCACTCAACGAAGCTAACGGGACCATCAAATTTCCATTCCGAGGCCGTCTTTACATCGTTCCGACTACGGTCAACTTTCCAACACTTAAGCTCTCATTTAGGGACTAAGTGTCCCAAAACTCTCCGAAACTCCAAAACCGAACGTCCCGACAACCTAAAATAGCAGAAATAAACAGGGGGAAGTAGTTAATAGGGGATTCAGGTGTTAATTCCTAAGACGACCGGCCGGGTCATCACAATAGGACACTAGTAAAAATAAAAGGACACATGGCTTTTCAAAATTTTGAAATTACTCCCATACTTTTTTGGCCTACCTCTACTTCTCCGTAGGCCCTCCAATATTTTGAGTTCTTTAATACTAGATTTTTTTTTACATTTTTTATTGAAGTTTAAGACCAGCCCAAAGTAACAGTAATAAACGCGCCTTACATGTTATACAATGTGCAACACTAGTTGTACTCCACTCTCACAAGAATAAAATACTACTCCTCCGTTCCTAAAAAAAATGGCCATTTTCTAAATTTGAAAACAATTTAACTTAAATTTTTAATTCTATCATTAATGAGAAACTTTTATAACCATATAAATATTCTGGACCCCTTTATGACTTTTTTAGGACCATAAATTCAAGAAGTATTTATTTTTTCTTAAAATATGTCATTTTCTTTTAAATTCCCTGCCCAGTCAAATAAGCCCAGTATAAATTGGAACGGAGGTAGCATCAAATTCCCACATAAATACGACATCATTTTGTTTCCATATCATTTTCTTCCTCAACTTCAAAGGCCCCACAATTCACATACCCTTTTGCGCCTGCCTATCAATCTCTCAGGTCTCGACACAGAAATGGGTGCGGGGCGTGAAGTGTCCATCTCATTGGACAATGTAAGAGACAAGAACATGATGCAACTAAGGAAGATCAACACTGCACTCTTCCCTATTCGTTACAAAGATAAATACTACTCCGATGCCCTTGCCTCTGGTGATTTCACTAAGCTAGGTTCGTTTTCATTTCTGGGCTTTCCTTATATTTTTAGTTTTCATATCTAGGGTTTTCTAGAATTTCCGAAGTCTATCTTTTGTAAATAATGTTAGTGTTTAGGATTTCATATTAGTATTGGATTAGTAGTAGTTGCGGTGATGTTGTGTTGGGTGTTTTGAGGGTCGATGCTATTTCAATGTGTTTCTATTGGCACTGGTATTATTTTATGGCTTGATGGATGGTTCTAAGTTGTGTTTATGATTTAAGATATTCATGCTAACATACAATTGAGAGGATAAAATTTATATCAGTTTGGAGCTCTATACATAAGATCCACCCTGGAAGCTAACTTTGCCATACTTCTCTTACATAGCAAAGAAACTAGCTGATGCACGACATGCACCACAATTCACTCCGCTACATCAAAATGAGGTATTGTGTATATTCTATCAAATTAATCTAATCAGTTCTGTTTTCAAGGGAGAAGCTCAAATGAGTAACTTGAAGTTTTGGACTCTATAATTTAATTTTTCATGCTGTTATTTTGATGCCAGTTTCCAACACTAAGCCTTTGCTTCGGTAACTAGGACCCCCATAAAAAAAGCAACGATAAGTGTCCCTGGAAAAGACAGTGTAAGAGTAATATCCACAGTTGGTGCTTATGAAGGCAAGTAAGTCAAGGTAAATAGATTCAATGCAGAATTTAGAAGATAAACCTATTTGGCTCCACTTTGTCACAAGCACGTTGAAGGTCAGAAGTTCAGGGAAATCTTTCTCTCTTATTTTTCCTCTTTTCTGGATTGTGTAGTATTTATAAGAATAGGGACACAATCAAAGTCTAATAATAGTAGTAATAGTAATAGCAGGTTTTGAGTCTATGACCAAAGTAGGAAGTGAAGGAATCAAGAAGCAAATGGAGGACATTCTGGAGACAAAGGATGGGAGAGGAAGATGACAAATGAAGAGAGAATGTTGTGTATATGGTGCAACAACTCAAGTCTAGCTCCATAAAAGGGAACAAAACTGGGGTTTGTAGCAAGGAGCTTTACCCTGCACGAGTTCTAGGTTTAAGTGGTTAGAGGGCTCTCCAAGGACAAAGGACGGGTCAAAATTGGAAGTGGTCCTTCTTTCTGTTGTTGCTCAAGATGGTCGATTGCTGCAGTCGACTACCCTATGCCTGACCACTGGTTGCTAGGCTATCTTTTTGCACCTAGTCGATTTCCTAATTTTCCTGAATCCTATTAGAATCCAACAGAAATTTTAGCTTGATTTTGTAGTTTTGCCCTCTGGAATATTTGGATAAACTTAAATCTCCAAAATATTAAGGAAAAAAGGAACCATTTTAGTATGTCATATCTGTTAGGGCACCTGATACTTGATACATTTGGTTTTGTATAGCTGATACTTTGGTCTTTCTCTTCTCCATTTGCTAGATTAGCGTGGGTTGAAATCTGATGTAGTTGTCTATGTCTTTACCACCAAATTGTTGCAATCTCATAAATCTCAACCTATCTGAATACATATACAGCTGCAACATCATATTAATATTTTCCAGACATCTCTTCCCCCTTAGTGCAGTGTTCATGACATGCTATGGAATGCCCATCGTGTTTCTTGTTGTTCAAGTAGTGAAGTACAAAAATAAAAAGACCTTATATTTCACAAATCAGATTTTATATTAGGTTTCCTGAAAGAGTTGCTATAAAAGTTTATTTGAAAAATATTATGTGAATATCTGCTTATGGAGTGTACTTATTTTTCTTCTTCTTTAAATTTCCAGGGGAGTTGGTGGGGAGCTATCTTGCAATGGACCTTTTAATTCACTTAATCAGTTTTTTTTACAAAATGGAGAACTTTTACCTTAAAAGTAAGATCTGATGCTCTTGAGCATTGTGTGATTGACTCTCTATTAAAGTTTCCAGTAACTAGGTCTTGTTCAAGCTTTGGTACTATAGTAAACAAAACATGCTCTTTAATGGAGAAAGATGAATTAACAAATGCCAGTGAGCATGTTTATTTAACATAAATAAGTACAGTAATAATTGTTGCTTGAAGCATGATCTGCTGTTCATGTGAAATAATGGCAAGTTAAAGATGCAGTTCTTCTCCTCGTTAGGATTATTATAGAATGCAAATAACAATGTATAATTACCACTTCCTAAAAAGTTCTTGAAGAACATTGTTTGCTTAAATGAGAGAAATAAAAGAAGCATGTGAGATTATTGGATTATGCTTCTTCCTTATGGGTCAATAGAGAAAGTAGTGTGGATGTTTAGTGAACATACGAAGTTCAACTTGATNGGGGTTTCCTTATAGCATAAGGAGGTGACCTGTTTCCCCTGTCCGGTGTCATCTTTCCTCTGTATAATTTTTGATATTTCAAATGTCTGACCTGTTTTGATTAATTTTTTTGCTGCAGCATATTATAGTGACATTTGTGTAGGTTCAGTTGCATGTCGACTTGAGAAGAAGGAAGGTGGAGCTGTTCGTATTTACATAATGACTTTGGGTGTTTTAGCTCCATATCGTGGTCTAGGAATTGGTAGGTGATCAGCTTATCTTGCCCACCTTGTTCAGAGTGAATATTAACACTAAACTTTCCTCTTTTCCTTTCACGTTTACCACTGAACATTTGTGTTTTGATAGAACCCCCAACTTATATCATTTTTTCAATCCTTTTTTTTTTAAGTATCAGTATCTTTTCTTTTAGTCATTGAATTCTGTTAAAATGCAGCAAGTAAACTCTGAGATTTACGAAATGGTATTGAACTATTCTATGAGTAGCTGCAGAGAATTCAATTGATGTTCACTTTCTCCTGATACCTTAGTATAATTGAACTGCTTCTTATGTATTCATCATGTTTCATATACTGTGCAGGTACAAAGCTGTTAAATCATGTGCTTGATCTTTGTACAAAGCAGAATATCAAAGATATTTACTTGCATGTACAGACAAGTAATGAAGATGCCATTAACTTCTATAAGAAATTTGGCTTCGAGGTTACTGATACCATCCAAAACTATTACACAAACATTACCCCACTAGACTGTTATGTCCTAACCAAGTTTCTCTCTCAAACAAAGAAATGATACGTGGGAGCTACCTCGGTTGAGATTTCGTCGAGCCTCGACATAGTTTTGAGGTTCTGAACCTTCTGGTTCTACTCTTTGTTATTTATGGGGTAATATACCACGATTGTTGGACTGCCTCTCTTTTTTGTATCATCTTAATGTGCAACAAGTGGTTTAATTGTTAAAGATATAGGACAGTTCATTTAAGGCAGAATTTAGTTATTGTTTGAGTCATGATTGACCCCTTTAATGGTATGTGTATCTCCGCACAAAGCTTCATAGATATATCATGCAAACAGAAGCAGTCGGTTTTTGCTTTATAGTTGTACTTAAAATCCTGTTTGATGTATGAGGCAGAAAGTTTTCCGCCGAGAGGGAAAGCAGATAGGTAACAGGAGAGATTGTTCCATCTTGAAGCACTTTTGTTGATTATGATATAGTTATATATCTCACAGCATAAACTTCCGCAGCTCTTTGTAGAATTGATACGCAATTTTGTGAATATATAATTTGGCTATGGGTGCTTTATGGCGGACAACTGCCACTGCTGCCTAAATATTTCTAACTTCTTTGACGAGTCAATTGGGCAAATTAATTGGCCGAAGAGAGATACTTTGGCTGGCATCATATGTTACATTAGTCATACTTGAAGCTGATCTGGGAAGGGAACGTCGAAGTGACTTTGGAAGAACTCTATGTGACATTGAAGGAAAGGGAAAAGTTAAAGGATAAACAAAAGTACCCCCCAAAGATTTTACCTTTTCTTATGCGTTTGAGGATAATTAGAAAGTTTCGAAATGTATAGGAGACTCTCAATTGATTGGTTCTAATGTTAAGCTGCTTATTCAACCAGGATTCATTATCGAGTCCACGAGGAGGAGATTACTAAATCTGGATTGCGGATAAAGGAACGAAGAAGACACATTTATTAACTGATTTCCTTACCTGAAGAAAATTAAGTTATGATTAAAGATGTTTTTAGAGGAAAGCTTTGGCTGTTTGCTTTAGCAACAACGCTAAAGGGCAGTCCAAGATGGTGGTTTGGAACATCTAAGAGGACACCTGATCCACGCTATCTTCCCTTGGTAAAGAGTAATTTAAAATCTAAATCATCACTTCAATTCAAGGGCAAACCGATTTCCTAGTTACCGGGCTGAGCGCACCTTTGGTACTCCCTCTGCTGCTACTAGAGCTACTGAATATCAACCTAAGAGATACTAGACCAGGTGCGAAAGCAAGGGGCAAGCGCCGCAAAGGGTTGACAGGGCAGCTTGGCTGATAGAAAAAGAGATGGTACCGAAAGCGGGAGGCTCGTAGACGCTACTAGTGCAATGACTAGTCTTATCAATTCGCCTTCATAAAAAAAAATAGTCAAATTTGGTGACTACTATTTTAGTGTTCACCCTCTCATCCCAGCAATCATCATCTTTGGGGGAACGAATCTGCCTCATAGGATGCCGCCTGTCTTCCAACCAGGACTATGTGCGGATATTGTGAGAATTTGACGACCGGAATTCGGAGCCTTGATGCCTAATGAGAGTGCCCAAAAAGTTATGGAAGCTTCCAAAGCTTTACATGGGAAAGCAACAATATCGCCTTTCTTGAACACCTTTTGGAAGATTTGCAGCAAAACGGAGTAGGGGGAGAAGCCTATAAAGATGCGGTAGATCTAGCGAAATTATGCTCCATGTCCCCCTTTTCACAGAACATGGAGAGATGAATTGATATATTTATTGAATCCGTCGGGACTGACGGGGCTCGAACCCGCAGCTTCCACCTTGACAGGGCGGTGCTCTGACTTCACATCTCATCAGGAGGACGGGGAGATATGAAAAAAGAAACGTAGTGAGTCATTTATTCTCAAAGCTGGTTGGGAATCGATAAGAAATTGAACGGGCATTCAAGCTTGGACTCCATTCAGAAAGAGCGAGCTACGCCTAGCTTAGCCTATCCAATATTCGATTCACAACGGGCTTTTTTAGCTGATTTTCCTCTCTCCATATAAAGTCAGTCTCAGTGTTGGGCGGAGCCCATTGTCAAAGGATCGTTTCGCTGGAATGCTTGCTAGAATATAGCTACTCCCACTAAAAGAAAATTTTCACTATATGTTATTGCTACAAACCCTATAGTTGATCTGCCACAGATTGAGGCATATCTTTTAGAGATGATCACGTCAGCAACGACAAGTGGATCATTCATGCGCAAACCGAATGAAGAAGTCGGAAGCAATTCATCGCCCGTGGGAACTTGCTGATAGTGAGGAAGCCATAATCTATCTATCGGATTGCCTATTTGTCTATCTGTCTGAAGAGAGAATGTAAGAGACTCTCACTAGGGCAAGCACAAAATACCCCGTTCGAGTCCCCGGACGAAGGTGAGACCAACTTCTTGACATCAGATCATCTTGGACAATTACTAATTCTATTCTTCTAGATGCGCTCTACATTTATCAAGCTCGTAAACTCGCAATTGACTCCAAAATCATTGTTGATTGCTTCAATGAAAATAAAGAAGCCCCTAAAATTACCCATACCTAAACTCATGGTGGAGCTTCATTTCATCCAAATTCTCGGCTGGCCATTTCAAAATCGTCTATACAATTAGGGAAAACAACAAAGTGGTACTCTTTAGCAAACTTCAACTGCAATTCTCAGTTTAACTATAGGTTTTCCTCTACAACTGATCTTCCTCAACAAATTCAGGTTTTTTCTCTCAAAAAAGAGAATGCGGGGTAGAGGAATTGGTCAACTCATCAGGCTCATGACCTGAAGATTGCAGGTTCGAATCCTGTTTCATTCTTCTTCTGGACCTTCGCTTGAACGAAAAAACTCGATCAGCTTGACTTTCCCAACTGCCACCTCGAGCCCTTCTTTACGGTCTGGATTTTTGTGTCGTTTCAATCCTCGTGGTGGATGGGGAAGAAAGGGATGCTGATACGTGACACGACTTAGCCTGTTGTCAGTGACTAATAAAAGCGCAATAAGTGGTGAAATACTGGTGTTTGATACTTCATCAGAGGCAACATCTATTTGTTTCATTATATCAAATGTACAGGTTTCTATTTACATGATTGGCCAGTCTTGAGCCAGCAGTGATGGTAAGCAACTACACTATATATCACACTGTATATTACTCTTATTTGTATACTGGAAACGTATTGACTTCTGGCGCTACTGCAGATACCACTTCAGTAAGCCACACCACCAGAGAAAGCATCTCCATCGGGAAGCAAAGATTCTGTCAGCCAGTAGCCATCCCAAGAACCACCAACACACTGTAAATCACAAGTCATGTTTATTTTCTTCTTCGAACGAAATGAATTTTAAAAAAAAAAAGTGAAAATCCCAAGGAAACCAGAACTAAAAAGAAAATATTAAGTGTAGATAACATGCCCCCCATGGCTTTGGTCTATTGGTAGAGAATAATAGAGATGGAATGCAAGGTTGATCCTATATTTCTGCCTTACAAAAGGCAATGCAAGACATTCCTCCTTTATTAATTGTTGGCAGAAGATACATAATTGAGGTAATAATGGTAAGTGAAGGCGGGCCAATGCATTTTGGTCTCTATAAGGTGCAAGCTAGAGGAAGATGTAGAATTCAGGAGGCAGGGATTTGAGCAAAGAATTTTTTTGGGTTTTTTTCACTTTTAGCCCGCACCAGAAACTATTTACATTTGGTAGCCGAAAAAGTATATAAAATTTATATAATTATTGTATTTAACATACAGAATGTATATACATACAAAAAATATACATTTTTTCGACTATTATTTTGAGAGCGGCTATATAGTGTCATTTTCCCAATTTTCTTGCCTAAACAACAAAGATCAATCTCTAGTTTCACCTCTATGAAAATATAAGGAAATTAAAATTTCATTTTCATTCATAAAGAATTTGATGAATTGCCCAAAAGCTACTCAGAAAACAGACTATGAAATCTCTGGACTAAATATTCGGAAATGCCGACAAGGCAACAAAACTATACAAAAATACAAGCAAACGAGTTTGCAAGACTTGCTCCACTACTCCTGGTTTCCGTAGGTTGTGCTTGGTGTCTCCATAGCATTTAATGGTAGATAATTACAAATACAGTTCGATGCAACATTTAGTCTATGTATGTGGACTCGGGTATGATTACATATTCATCTTCAGTTATAAGGAATCCAGTATGCAGTGCCTACTATGTACATGTCACACTCATTTTACATGCTATGTCAAGGCAAAGGAGGAACCAGGATAATATAGCCTTCAATTTAAATAAGTTAAATTCAAATAACTACGTTCTCCACAAGCAAAACAGCTGTTCTCTTGTTAAAGTTGCAGTCTCTTTTTATTTTGTTTGGTCCAATATACATCACCTAGATAGCAGCATATGTTTCTACTATCTTGGAAGCATTGAAATTAACTGTAGACATAAATGGAGAATTATAAACTATATAACCACACTCTATATTAGTCTCCCAGTACTCCAGCTTCCACCATATGCTTATGTTAGCGGAAACGTAAAAGAAAGAACACAAGATTTAACGTGGTTCGGATCAAAATAATCCTACGTCCACCAGAGAACAATTGCCCTTTTTAATATTAACAAAGGAAGGGGAGATTTCCCAATTACACTTAAGAGAATTTCTCTCTTAACTCTCTACTCACTACAATGTATTGTATTATTTTGGGATGATTTCTACAAGTGAAGGAGTGCATCTATTTATAGAGGTAAAGACCTCCTCTTGATGTCATTGGTGACATCAAACTACCTCCTCTTGATGTCATGGGTGACATCAAAGGAGGAAGCTTCCTCCTAGCATCCACACCAACTCTTTCCACCAACTCTTCCAATTGGCATGCCATTGTTGACTAAACATAAACCAACATTTTCAGCATGCCATTGTTGACTAAACATAAACCAACATTTTCAGCTTATTTTCGTAGTAATAATTGAAATGAAAAATCTAAAGGGAAAAGCAGTTTAAGAAATATTGATTCAGCTCTGAACGAGGACGCGAGGAAGAAACAACAAACCTGAACCATGGTGAATTGGAAGATTTCTTCTTCCTCAGGTCGAGTACCTCGGACCCAGATACGCTGCTTATACAAATTCTACACGAGAGCATAGTAGAAATTAGACAACTCTTAAGCTTATCATTGCTCTTTCCCAAACATTCGGTAACAACCATGTGAAACCTGACGAACCTCATTTACATGCAAACTGCTCAAAATCTCCCTCTCCTGATGGCCAAGCAACACCCGATAAGTCGAATGATGAAAAATTCGCCTGAATCGTTCAAACTGCATGGCAGTACCCCAATCAAGTAAAGATATGTATTAGCATATATTAGCCTTTTTCTTTAATCATCATAGAATAAATGCAAGTATTTTCTAGTTGCTGCCTCTGGTGCAGGAATTATGGTCAAGTACCCTGACCTAAAGAGAACAAGGATCGACAGGCAGCTTACTCTTTGAGCATTCATAACGATTAAGGAAGAAAGCAAAAAAATTGAAGTCCAAATGAAAAAAGCCAGAAAAAGAAATGACCCAAAAAAGTTACATTACTGACCTGACCCAAGTCAAAAAAGCGCCCGAAGTAGGTAGACCTTTGAAAGGGATCAAATCCAGCAAACTATCACAAGAAGTCAAGGATTAAACTGCCAGCTTCAACTTTATGCGAAGTTATCAGACTGTTAGAGAAAGGAGTTTTAGATATTACTCTGTACATGACTTCAACTCCATAATCTTGATGAGGCTGGTCATTGTATTTCAATGCATCAAGCTGGTGGTGAACTGCTTCATCTGCACTAAACTATTGCAAAACCATAAAGTAAATTGATGCGTAAGCAAGCAAGCAGAAACTCTTATGATATGCCTTCAAGTGCTAGAAACTTACACTTAATCTTGGACCAAATGGCTTTTTCCTACGGGATTCAAGCCTACAACAGATAATGCATAGTTGGAAAGAGTTACAATTGAAATTCCCCAACTATGGATTGTTGAAGACATAGTTTAAGTAAATAAAGGTAAAATCTTGCTAACAGTTTAAACATGGTATGAGAGCAATGGAGAGACCTTGCTTCAAGTCTCACGATTAATCAAAAATAATTTTCACACACTTGGCCCAATCTCTTGGAATATACGTGAACTTAGCAATACAAAACATGATGGAAGTAAATGATCTATATGGGCGATACCGACTTTGAAATTAAGGCTTAACCTGTTGGTACACTTACATAAGGTACGATGTCTACCTGGAGTCTTTTTGTAGTCGGGTTATCTTGGCAATATAAGATTAAATTATAAACATTTTAAAAGAATATTTTAACAAGTAGTTAGTGATAGGACAAATGACATGCTTAGAGATGTTTTATGAACAAGTGTCTTATTTTAATTTAACCGTGAACTTGGCATGGTAAGTGACAAGTGTCTTGTCGCTTGATTTACAACATGACAAGTCTCATGTCTAGACGCAACTACATACTGCTATATACATTCCATTATCACTTCATCATTACTACACACAAATAATCAGTCTAATCATCACTTTTCATGTTGCAAGTCAATTGACAAGACATTTGTCACTTACCATGCCAAATGTCAGGGTTAAATGAAGGTGAGTAGGCACATGTCTGTAAAAAATCTCTAAGCATGCCATTTGTCTAGTAGCTACTTGTTAAAGTATTCTTTTGAAATATCTATAAGTTAATCTTATATTTGTAAAAATTCCCACATATTTCAAAAGATTTTGGAATCAAAGGATAAGATTTGCTGAATTTGTATGGTCCAAATATTTGTTTGATATCTTTTGGACTACAAACCAAAGTTAGACCGATAAAATATGACAAAAATTATTCATAGAAATATAATATTTCATGAACCAACAATTCTTATTGTAAATCAAAGATTTATCAATCATATTGTGACCCCATGTGTGTGCCCGAACATTCATGAGAGCTCTAGAGACTTGGGCCAAAATCTTATAAGAGCGGTCCCGCTCCACTCTCATATAAGTGAATTTGTCAAGTGCATAGTGCTAATAATACATCATCCTTAAGGAATATAGTTTCATTAAGAATTGTAACTCATCATCTCAATTAGTAGCCGTCAAGCACTGATCTTTTAGTGCTTTAGTGTCACCATTGACTTATTATTACTCATATGAACCTACTTCATGGGATCGCCAGTCACATAAGTTCGGGTTACCATCTTGTTGGCCTTAATCCCATTTCTCTTGAGGTTTGAAGAATTAATTTCTTCCCATAGGTTTGGTTAGAGGATCAACCAAAAGGTACTTCTGACTGCACACAGTCGATGGAAATTATTCCATTTCTTAGTAGTTGTCTAACAATGTCATGTCTCAATTTCATGTCTACTTTTATAGTTACAAGATTTTTTCTTGGTAATAGCAATTGCTGCTTCACAATCACATTCTATAGAAATAGGAGGCAACAAATCCTTGGATAAAGGAATTATATTATTATACAATGTTACACCAAGGACCCAAAGCATGTCATCAACAATAGGTTAGAGACTACAGTTAAAAAACCTATAATTCTACAAAACTCTCAGTTTGTTTAGAAAGATATAATATTGAACAACGAGGATTGGAGTTAAATTGGCCAAACGGAGCGGAATGGACATAGAGAACTCATACAACCGAGCGTAACTATTTTGAGATTGGGACTAGGTACTTGTTTTGTTGATGATAAGTTAGGGCGATGGTGGAAGCATTACGCATAAAACTGAACTGTCTAATGAATATAAGTTTTTGAAAGCAGCCCAAGAAATTATTATTTCAGTTGAACTAGGTAGATGACCTCAAATTTGTGGGACTGTGGTGACTGGGAACTTTAGGACAATTTGCTTTTTTATTACACACGAACACCACTAAAACTATACAACTGGTAAAAATATCAATTCAATAATCAAAATCCAGAGTTCAATTCCTAGTAAACTTAATAGCATTTTCAGAGGAAGAATTCAATTAATACAAAGTATTCAAGAGCAAACAAGAGAGAGATTAAGATGGTTACCAATCGGCAGAGAGAAAGTCAGGGACATCGGCAGAAGCAGAGATACGAGGCGTTAAAGGCTTAGATGATTCGAAAGGTTTGGCGAACATAGACAGAGACTGTGCAGATGACACGGAGGAGCTAAACGACATCGTATGCTTCTCTTCTCCACACAAAAGCTCTGTAGTGGATGATCGATTATAGGAAGAGCTCCAGTTGTGCGCTATTTTTTGAGATTAGCCAACATTGCGTCTAAAGCAACATCGACTTTTGATTTTTAATTTCGAACCCTTCGATTCGGAATTGTCCAAAGATCTTACGATCGCGATCTCACCAGGTGCTGCCGAAAGAAGATGTTGTTTTCAAACCAAGAAGATAACAAAAAGGATCCCTTATGTTTGGGTAGATTCAAAGTGTCCTCCAGATATACGGGAAATGGTCAAATATGTTCCTCTACTATTCGAAAATGTTCACTTATATCCTCCGTTATACTAGTAGTCCACCATAGCCCCGACGTTATAAAACTGATGCAAAAACACCCCTATATTGTTAGAACCCTCCACCATGGCAAAATTATCCCACATGGCTTGATATATCACTAAGTTGGATGCCACATAGCATGCCACCTCATCACACCTATCCCATTTGACTCCCTCCCCTACTTCTTCTCTTGCACCTATTCCCTTCAAATCAGGGGCCGTAAGTAGACAATGTGGAAAGTGAATCGGAGTATATTGATTCGAACGAATCTCATTTCTGGTTTATTTTCTATTTGTTACAGTAATAGTCTCATTAATTAATTTGCAATAGTTAATTAACAATCAATGAAGTCATATACATGTTTGAACTAAGTACGGGAGACTCTGGAGATATGGATGAAGTTTTTGGAAGCAGGTTTTCTTTGGGGATTTATGCTTAAAGATATTTAGATGATTTCACAAGCAAATATTGTTCCTCTGTTGTATATTTCCTTTTGTATAAGTATGTGCTTAAGTTAATTGATGGTCATTAACATGTAGGTCTCTTCCATAGGCCAATAACTCCAACAATATCATTTTATTATCTAAACTTGTAGGTCTTCTTCTATTCTTTTAGGAGAATATCGTCTAACCCAACAATATATACAGATATTGTCATATTTTTAGTATGATGAATGAAATTAAATGGGTTAATTTTATTTCATGTTTTCTTGGTCCTAATGTTTTCATATATTGGTTTGTCACATTCAGTTTAACTAAGATGACCTATGTTTACCTTGTTCGATGAGGATGTAAGTAAAGAAGAAGTGAAACGAGAGGAATTCTAAACCAACAGCTTTTTTGCTTGCTTAAGTTTGACCAAAATGGAGTAGGTATTGCTGAAAAGTAAAAACAGAATTCAGTACCTATATATGAGCCTCTAATGTGAGATGTAAAACCGAATCAAGCGTTTTGTTTTAAACTAGATTTTAAGGCAGAAAAAGTTGAATAAAGAAATTCCAATATACTATTCTCTTCCCATGCTCTCTGATGTAGTTTAGCATTTATATAGAGAGATCAAAAAATTAAAATTTTCAATTCAATTTGATTTTTGATGAAAGAATGGTTGTTTGATGATGGTCAAGACTAGTGGTTTGTTGGTGGTGAAAGAATAGGTTCTTGGTGAAGGAGGAGGTTATGTTGGTGGTTGGGTGAAGAGGGAGGTGGTGATGGGAAAAAAAGTAGGAGATGGAATAAAATAGGATAGGTGCAATGAGGTGGCATGCCACATGGTATCCACCTCAGCGATATGTCATGCCATGTAGGATAATTTTGTCATGGTGGTGGGTCCTAATGGCAGAGGGGTATTGTTGCACCAGTTTTATGACGTTGGTGGCTATGGTGGACCAATAGTATAATGTCAGGTATAAGTGGACATTTTCGAATAGTAGAGGGGTATTTTTTACCCTTATCCGTAAAATATATGCTTAAGCAGTTTTGGTCCTTTAAATTCCTTAAAATAAAGATATTTTTTATCTCGTCATAATAAACTCTAATTATTAATCTCAAAATGAAAATATCAAAATAAACTTTTTTTAAGGATAACTTACATTTGGAGGTAATTTTTGAAATTTTGACGATATCTTTTGGAGTTTGTGTTAATCTTTTTTCTTTAAAAAAGATTTTGTATTGCATTTAATTAATATCCCAAATCAGGTATGGAATAAATTTAATCCTAAATTCTAAACCACCTTATCTCATGAACCAAACGACCCCTAGTCTCCTAGAGTCCAAGTCCTAATAGAGTTTTCTTTGTGAAAAAGTGGGTCTTATTTGTCTGTTGTCAATAGGGGTATTCAAAACCGAACCGAAACCGAAAAACGCAGCTTAATGACTTATTGGTATCGGGTTAACGGGTTAACGGACGGGAAACGAATTGAATTTTTTTCNCGGCCAAGCGTTACCATTGACCTTAAGTTTCGCTTAACTTACCATCATCAAACACGTGTCATCGTTAATCTGGTGCCTTTTCATTCACAAGCAGATAATACATAATAGTAGTAGGACGAAAAGGCAGCATCACCTCCAAATTAAAAGTGAAATTCGTTATTAACATGGTAATTTTACCTTCCGGTAGGAAATAAATGTTGTCGTTAAAGCGGACCATAAAACGATAGTAATAATCAACAACCTTGCTTCAACTTTCTCAACATGTAATGATTTCAAATTCATCATGTGAAAGATGAAAGAGACTCATTTAGTTGACCATCAGGCTAACTTGGAACTACTACAAGAGAGAGTATGCCTTCACACAATTCAACTGCTTGTGGAACGTGTAAACCTTGCCACTCAGTATATTTCTTGCGATAGTATGCCCTCTGTAATGCACACAATATAGATTGAATTAAGCCGATAAACCGCCCGATAAGAGCTAAACTGATACCAATCCGCCCGATATCTTATTAAGTGGCTAGCAGATTAATACATTTAAAAGCCGATAACTGATAAGCCAACCGTTAAGAGTAAATAACTGCCCAATTCGCCCGATAAGAAGCCCTAGTTATCAAATAGATAAACAACCTAGTTTTAGTGAAAAGGGTTCAGGATCCTGCACTGTCACAACACAAGATCCACCTGACCGGCACTAGGCACACTACCCGACCCGAGCGAACCAAACCCATATATAACTCCTCTCTTATATGTATGCTGAAGACTTTTGAAACATAAACATTTTTAAACAATGAAATTCATGCATGAAATTTAACCTTTAAATTGATTTTTTCCCGTTAAACAAAAGACATAAATGTAATTGTTCATTCATGCATGCCATATGAGTAACCATAGCTTACAACCCGAAAGAACAAAATACTATTGTCTATGAAATCTCTATGACACGGAATGAATATAGTAGACTGAGGCAAGCCCCGGTTGTAAGAAAGTTTGTTCTTTTAGAGTTGGAAAGTGGGATTTTTCCCACATCGGAAGAGAGAAGGCTCTTTTGGAGCCTTTTAAGAACTTGTCCCTTTCATGTCTTTGATTTAGGATACATACTTTTAAATGTGTGCAATTAAGTGCACTATATATTTATATATTATATAATCAAAGACTTGGACTAGGACTTGGGGATTGGGAGCGGGTCGGTTCTGTCACGACCCTAACCCCAAACCGGTCGTAATGGCGCCTCTCGTGAAGACAAGGCCAGCCAATCAAATCCAATTCGCCTTTTTAAAACAGTTAAACAATATAAAAGCAGTCCAAACATGATTTAATAATAATAAGTAGCGGAAATACAACCCGACACAGCCCTAACCGGGGTGTCACAAGTCACGAGCATCTATAAGGGTATGATTACAACTGACAGTACAAAGTGTACAAATACGAACTAATGAAATGAAGAGAGAGAAAAGTAGTGTTACGAACGCCGGCAACTACCTTGCTAAACTCTGATGACTCTGCCTCCGATCAGCCAAAACATACCTGAATCTGGACACAAGGTGCAGGGAGTAATGTGAGTACTTTGACTCAGTGAGTAATAATAATCAATAAAGACTGAAGGCAAGAAATCACGTAAAATATCTCAAGATGCTGTATAGAAGCAGTCCAAAACTAGTAAGAAAGCAGTGAAGCTGTAAAAAATCTCTTTAAAATATTTTGGCTCAGTTTTAAACTTCTTTGAAAATGACTTTTCCAACAGTTATGCAAAGGAATGCCAAAAACAGTTAGTGCAGGTAAGCACAGAAATCCGCCTCTCGGGCACAAATACCATAGTTTAACAAGTAAAATGATAAGTAACATATAAAGGTTCGCCCCTCGGGCACAATGTCAACAACTCCGCCCCTTGGGCAATATCTCAGAACAATAACAGCCCCTCGGGCAATCACACAGAACGGTACCAGCCCCTCGGGCAAATCACATAGAACAATATCATCCCCTCGGGCTATATCTCACATCACAATAGGTACCCACGCTCACTGGGGTTGTACAAACTCCGGGAGGGGCCCCTTACGGCCCAAGCGCAATATCAAGCCATCTCATGGCATCAAATCTAGGCCCTCGCCTTATATCAGTCAAGCCATCTCGTGGCATATATATCTCAGGCCCTCGACCTCATAAACAATATCAATAAGCCACCTCGTGGCGTACATATCTCAGGCCCTCGGCCTCAAATCAGTATCAGTGTTTCCTCACAACTAGGCCCTCGGCTTTACTCAGTCAAAAATACTCAGAAGCCCCCTGAGCATTAGTTAAACAATATTTCACAGCCCAAAACATCATTTAAAAATATCATTTAAGTCTCAAAATGGAGTAAAAATGGCTGAGTAGTAAAACAGTGGAAAATAACATAACTGAGTTAAATTAATAAGTCAAAACAGTGAGGAAATAGTAATAAAAATCCCCGAAGGATTCAAATAGTTGGCACGAAGCCCAAATATGGCAATCTGCCCAAATCATGATGATAACATATAAGTTTCAGTCAAATACGCGGTAAAATCATCAATCGGGACGGACCAAGTCACAATCCCCAATAGTACAAGACCCCATGCTCGTCGTCAAGTGGGTGCCTCACCTCAATATAGCACTACGATGTGCAATCTGAGGTTTCAAACCCTCAGAGCATCATTTACAATCATTACTCATCTCGAACCGGCTAAAATCTCTAGCTCGCGACGCCTTTGCCCCTCGAATTGGCCTCCACGCACGTTAAATCTATCCAAAATCAGAATGAATACGTCACAATATGCTAAGGGAACAAAGCCCAAGCGAAAACAATCAACAAAGGGCGCAATTCCCGAAATNATTTCACAATTTTCTTCCCAAATTCCATCCCAAATTATGAATTAAATGATGAATTCAATGATAGATTCATGCACTCTAGCCAAATCTGAGTTAGAATCACTTACCCCGATGAATTTCTTGAA